CTTCGATCTACTGGCGAGGGAGGAGCTGGACCTGCTGGAAACTGGATCCAGCGTCCGTTATAACATGATTTGGAAAACTGAGAATAAGCATTGCTAACATTGGTAATTGGGGCTATTACTCGGCTTTGGCTTTGGGGGCCCCACGGGAGGAGGGGAGATGGGCGAATTAGGCTTCAAGGCTGCTGCCTGCCCATATCAGAAAAAAACTCTGCGAGACTCAGAAACTCTCAGAAAATCTCCGCCAAAGACAGCAGATGAGGTGGAAACGGATGAGGCAGAAAATTCTTCTGCCAGTCTAAGGGGGGTGATTCGGTCGATGTCTGTCTGGATCCTGAAGTGGAGATTGTACTCCCTTGTCACCTCCGCTGCTTCCTCACCGACCTTGTTGCTGCTCTGCCTTGTCGTCAGTCCAGGTCGCCTCCGTGCAATTCACCCTTCTTGATACAAATCATCCCCCTGGATACACCGCCCCATTTTTTGTCTTTTGTGCAGTTGGTAAGTGTTTGAGCGAGGCCCACGGTGACACTGGGTCGGTTCTGCCTACGACGACGAAGGTGGTGGTGCGCAGTAGGCCCGACATCACAGCACCGTAATCTAAGGTGGATGAAAAAGAGATTTAACCAACCATACAGACATGGGGTCAGTGTGGGCTGATGCGCAAACAAAGCGGCTGACACGCCTAGTAGCCCGGACCCCACAGCACTGGAACATCCAGTGTGGACAGAAACGAGGTATAACGATATAGAAGTGGGGCCCCACCCTTGGTTACGTGTGTCTACCAGTCAGCCGCCAGGTACGCGCGAGGCAGGTCTTGTCCTTGCACACGTGGGGATAGAAGAGTTCCTTGCTGTACAAAGGACAGTGAGAAAAAGGCATGGCCACGAGAATGACGATACGACACTGTTTTTCTCCCTGTCTCTTTCGGTCTGTCTATCCCTCGGTCTGTATGTAGGTCTGGATGGTCGAGTATCTGTCTGTGTGTCTGGGTGATTATCTGTCTGTCTGTTTGGCTGGCTGGTTGTCAGTCTGTGTGTGTCTGGGTGATTATCTGTCTGTCTGCTTGGCTGGCTGGTTGTCAGTCTGACTCTCTCTCTCTCAGGGTGTGGATTTTTTCTGTTGTCCGTTTTTGCTTCCTCTTCTCTCCCGCCCTTCCCTTTCTTTTAAAGGGCGACGGCCTCGAGATATCATGACCTCGAGGCCGTTACTGTGTTCATGATGCTGGCTTCCTTGCGTTTTTGCGAAAAGATATCATTACCGTCCCTAGGTAATTCAGAATTGTACTAGTTAACTCGTTTGCACACGCTGTGGTTTCAATCTATCCAAGGCTTGTATCTCAATGGTTATGTATTTTAACAGTTCATGGGTGTACCAACTGCGCTAGGCCAGTCGGTTGGGTGTGATTTTTCTTTTTCTTTGTTTTGGAAGTTGCAGCAATTCCATCAAAAACAGTATGGGAAAGAGGCTGGGAACCTCACAATTCGACCTGGGAACTTCTGTTGGGGCCATTACCCAGATTCGGCTCTTACTGGGAACCGGGTCCGGTGTCCTACCTTCCTTTTATACTGTTGAACTTCCCAAAAAGTACAACTTAAAAAGCACAGAAACGCGTCCTAGTCAACCTAAAGTCTCTTACGGCATGCCCCCAACTTTAAGGTGTAAACCCTCCACTACCCTACCTATAGCAAGCCTAGCTTCGGCTCCATAGTCGGCCAACATATAGCAAGCCTGGCTTCGGCTCCGTAGTTGGCCAACCTTATAGCAAGCGTAGCTTCGCCTCCATGCGAAGCCAACCTATAGCAAGCCTAGCTTCGGCTCCATAGTCGGTCAACCTATGGGGATTTTAAACTGCTAGTACATGGCCCCATCCTTGCAGAAAGTTTTTGTCACCACAAGCAAAACTCGGGGGTGCCGTTGGTAAAAGAAGTCGGCGGCCTCTGAAGTGGTGGGGGTTCCCAATCCACTCAGCCTGATGGAAACCGGGTCCAGTGTCCCAGCAAGAGCACACTCTTGGCTTATGAACGAGTATTGGGGCGATTACCCAGCTTCGGCTTGCTGAGAATTAAGAAGCAACTGGTCGCAGAATGCCAAATAGAACCCAGTCGTCTGATCAGGGCTAGTTGTCGGTGTCAGTTCTGGCTTGTGTCCGGGCCACCGGAGCCAGATCTCGTCTGCCAACAGGCAATCCACCCCCATGGGAGTATTTGATTCCCATCCCCATTCTCACATCTGTTGCGAGTAATGAATGGACAGATTCATGCCTCGAGTGGAAAGCCAGAGTGAAGTGGGAACACCCCTTACTGATTGCAGCTTCGTCAGATTGCCCTTCTGGGAATTTCTTCTTTTTTCTTTTCTTTTTTCTGACATTTGCTTTCAGTCGTAGATGGCCGACTCGCCTTCTTTTTTTTTCTCCAGCCTTAGACGGCCGACTCTTTTTTTTTATTATTATTTTTTTTAACGGACTGTCACGGGGTCACTAGAAAGGGTGATGGGTGACCGACTCTACTCTGAATGATTCTGCAACTCCCCACAGCTTGGGCGCTCTTCTCCGAAGACTGAACTCGGTCTTCCGTAAGACCAAGCGTGAGAGAGACTGTCCTATCCTGAATCAGGAACAGCAGTCCCTGTCTTCTGGTTGGATTACTCGACGTCCGTCCATTTTTCCACTTTCGTTCCAGAATCCGGCACAGGACCCACTTTTTTTTTTTTTTTTTTTTTTTTTTTTTTTTTTTGGAGGATCCACTATTTTTTTATTCGCCCATGATCATCTTCAGCTCGAGCTCACATTCCTGGAGCTTTTTTTTTTTGTTTTGAAACATCTGCGCCGTGTACTAAGGGTTCTGAAATGAGCAGACACCTTTAGCATACTGTGGAATAGCTCCTGTCTATTGCTGGAGAGAAGCACCAGCTGGAAAGCAGGTCCAGCGTCCCTGATACTCAGTACACGAATAGCATTGCGACATTGAGGAAACAGAGCAAGTCCTGCCTCTTCAATGCTCCTGCAGCATTTTCCGGTTCTCCTGTAGCAAATTATCACAGTGATGAGGAATTGGTGCAACAGATGCTTCTGGCCGATATAACACTTCGATAATCCAATCGAGGCTGTTTTTTTCCAAGTTCATCACAGATAATCCAATCATCTCTCTCTCTCCTCGTCACACAGATGCTTCTGGCCAGTATAACACCTCGATCGAAGCCCGCCGGCAACGTCACCACCTGAAAACGATTCCCTGCTAGGCTGACAGATATTTGGCTCTGATTTGGCAGTTATTGCTTTTTGTCATGGGGGGCCCGATTTCTTGTGGATGTAGTTTCTCTCTATGCGTAAAAAAAAATCTTCAAGTGTTTAGATTTACGTCTCCTCTCCAACTTTGATTTATGTTTCCTGTTCAGGAAAGATGGGATCAAGCAGCATATCCACGTGTCTTCGTGATTGGATAAGGACCCCACTCATTTTGAGCATCCTCCGTAAGTGGGTCCCTTGTTTGAAGGCTCTGTGTATTGGTGGGGGGAGCAGCATCTGCTGGAAAATGGGTCCAGCCTGTATTTGCACCCGCGTTGAGTGCTGACAAGATTGAAATCGCTGAGATTGCTGTCTGTGCTACTTCAAAATCCCGTGGACGTTCTAAGATCAGGGGCCTCACCACACGGCACACGAAACGAAAACGAAACAAGTGCATCTGCCACGAAAGGTGGGTGGCAAAATACACTCGTTACTTTTTATAGCAAACCGACGAACCTGGCCATTTTTCTGCCCAGTAAAGGAGGCGAAATACACTCGTTGTTCGTTTCGTGTGCCGTGCGGCGACGCCGCAAGTGTAGTATCTGTTCTGATCAGTTATCTGATCCGTGCTCAATCGGACCACGTGCGTAAAAAAATAAAATACATTCCCGTGGACCTAAGATTCCTAGCCCCCCGCTCGGAACGAGGGATGGCGACTTTTTCCCAAGTCTCTTTAACCAAGGAACTTCGCTTTTCATTTAGTGCTTGTTTCAACAAATATCTGGCGGCCCCGTGTTTGATCAGGGAGGAGTCTTTTCCCGACAAACAGATTGACAATGGTACGATTCTCTGTGTTTTGTAGCGGTGTGCTTTTTTCACTGCTTAGCATTTGTTTTTGGCTTTTTGTTTGCCTCGAGAAGTTGGGATGTGCTTCGCTGCCATTCCAACCGTGTCTGGGCTGTTTGTGGTCCAGGTGCGTTCATTCTTAATGTATCTGAACCAAATGGACCAGCAGATAGCCGCTCCACTACTCTCCACACGCAGAAAAGACAAAACACGGTGGTTTCTCTCTCCATGTTCTAGCGGAAGATTCATTCTCACTTCGCGCATGTGGTGAGCAGTGGAGCAAGTGGCCCATAGACTGTTCTGTAGTCGAGCGAAGGCCCTTGCATCTTATATTTGGTATGATGGTTGACTTGCAATTTTTTGTTGAATAGATATAATGAGATCTCCACTGGAAACTTGAAAGCTTGGCCGAAGGATAATTTGATTATTAACACAAATATTTTGCTTGGCCGAAGGATATAATTTGATTATTAACACAAACATTTTTAAGCGTTGCAACGAGTTTGTGTGTTTGTAAGGTGTCCAAAACCACCTTCTATTTGAGACTGCAGTGCGCTTGCATGGTTTGCTGCCTTTTTGCTGGCCTGTGTTACACGGCAAATGTTGTTTGTTCTGGTTGTATGTTCGGTGCCGTAGTCCTGTGTGAGGACTGAAGAAACATTCTGAACGGATCTGGACCATGTCGACCACTGGATTCGAAAACTGTTGTGTAGTGGAGCGACGCCCCTTGTATAGGGCTTGCAACGAGTTTGTGTTTTGTAAAGAACTGGCTGAAATCACGTTCTATTCGAAATTGCGGTCTGCTCTCAGGCGTTGCTTGCTGACTCTTTGTGGGCGTGTTACGTGGCAAATGGTGTTGTGCTGGTGGTTCGTTCACGGTTGTTGTTGCCCTGTGTGTGTGCGGAATGTCTGTTCTACCGGCATTGTCTTGCAGAGCCTACAGTCTGACGGACAATATTCTCCGGAATCATATTATTATTGGAATGCACAATGCGACGGAGATGGCATTAAACCCAAACAGCTACCCAACTGCGGGTGATACGCCTGTGAGCATTGTCAGCGTGCCGACCGGCATCACGGCCAATGGCGCCAATGTTGTAGTGCCAGACAAGTTCATGACGTTCGGAGGAGTGGTGCTGAACCTCGACAGGGTAAGTTTTTTTATCATTCTCTCTCCTTGAGGACAGTGAAAAGCTTTCGTGAATAGTGTGATTGTATTCAACAAGGTGGTTTTTACTTGGGAGGGCATGCTCACAAATGGAGCCTTCTGGCTGTTGTTACTATGATTCCGGCTACAGTGTTTTCGAGAAGTACCACCGTTTTCACCCCCGAAAATAATGTCAGGACGTTGTATACGAATATGACATGCCCGCCGGGCGTTATATTCGTTTATAACGCTCGGACGTTCTATTCGGCAATTTGGGGGAATCCTCTGCAGGGGGGCCAAAAAAGGAAAAATAAAATAAAATAAATCTGGAAAAAATAAATGTTGTCTAGATTTGCTGTGCAACCAACTTTTCTCTAAGGTTCACTCCAGGCCCGGTTCCTAGCTCTTAAAAAAAAAAAAAAAAAAAAAAGAGAATTCCCTATAAATTTGGAAATAAACAAGTTCTATTCGGCAATTTGGGGGAACCTTCCGCGGGGGGCCAAAAAACGGGAAAGAAAATAAGAAAATTCTGGAAAAAATAAATGTTGTCTAAGATTTGCTGTGCAACCAACTTTTGGCTGAGGTTCACTCCAGGCCCGGTTCCTGGCTCGTAAAAAAAAAAAAGAAAAAAAAAAAAGAGAAGAATTCCTTGTAAATTTGCAAATAAACAAAAAAAACAAATCTGGAAGACGGGATGGTCCTACTGCTGACGCCTGGCAGCCCGCACCGGGCCTTCCAAAAAAAATAAAAAAATCAAACCGAAAGTCCAAAACATGCTCGTTGGAAGTCAAAACCCCTCTCCCTCTGTTATGTTCGGGTGAAGATGGTAGTTTGAATATGCATTATATGCTCTTAGTCGTCTAGATGCGTCTCTGGAGGGGTCTGGTGAAATCCATGGTAAATTTGTGGCTCGTAATGTGTATGGGCCTTGCTTCTCTTCATCTCTATATGCATCTGGAGCTCATAATCATCCTGATACATATGAAATGTTGCAATTGTCGGGATGCACCTGGGTCGACATAACGTCCAGATGCATAATAGTATTTGTGAGTAGCGGAGCGAATCCCTATATAAGTATGCCATGATAGCTTTTTTAGTTCTGGAAGCTTTCATGATTGCTGTGTTTTGCATGCTAGATCTTCTTTTTTTGTGTTCTTTGAAAGTGTTTTAAGCCCTATGTTTATTATTATAGGGGTATGGGGTTCTAGACAGAAAAATACGAGCAGCATATCAGTTTTTGACAGCTTTCCAGGGTTATGCACGTGTTTTTTTTTTTTGGGCTCGACCCCCGCTGCTGCTGCCTCTGTGCGAGACATCAGAAAAAAGCTGTAGGGACATGCTGCGCTGAGATTGCTGGACCTATGGGTCTAGTGGCACCACTCCCCGTCGCCCAAGATTTTCAATGCATCTGATCAAACTCAAGTTGAGATGTTGGTGGATGGCGAGTGGTGCGACTGGCCCCTACGTCTACCTCTAGACTTTGACATCCATTACCTCTTCTCAGAAGTTTATTGTCTTTGTTTTTTTTCTTATGCTGGGTACCAAAACTTCTGCCCCGGTCCCGCTGGGAGTCTCCCGACTACAAGCAGAAGCGGTCATTGCGGTTGCGTTTATGTTCGTTCATTGTTTGCCTGCCGATGAGAAGTATCCGGACTGTCACCCTACGAGTAGAAGGGGCACCTTTGTGTGTGGGATCTCCAAAAAAGAGGGGCACCCTACGAGTAGAGGCGAAAGTATTTGTAGTCTGGGTAATTTGCAAACGACCTCCAATGTTGTAAGCAGACCTCCCTTCAAGAACAGGCTGCGTGTCAGTAAAGCCTTGATTTGCGGAATAATGAAGGTGCTTGCTTTTTTTTTTTTTTTAATTAAAACTTGCACACACTTGTGCCCCTTCTATTCTGGGCGGTGACAGTCCGGTAAAAAATAAAACAAAAATAGAGGTGCTTCAACTTGCTTGTAATACTGTGCTTCTCTGTCTGTGTTCTCTTGCAGGTCATATTGCCTTTAGACTTTGGTGCGCAATGGCAGGCTGCATGCCCGACTATTCCTTCCGTTAGCCCGCCGCCAGCTGTCGAATCTGTCCCTGCAATAGCGGCACCTGCGTCAGGTGCTGCCGTTCCAGCTCCTGTTGGGCCAGAGCTTACTCCTCCCGTCGCTGCCAATCCAGTCAATCAGTCTGTTGGAGTGCCGTCAACAGATGCTGGAGTGCCTCCAACGGATGTTGGAGCTTCGAGCGCAGCAGTTGTGGACTCGAATGAGACGCAAGCACCAGGCTCGGGCGCTCGTGATCAATCGAGTAGCGGTTCCAGCCTCAACAAAGATGGTAAACTAACTACCCATTTTCTCAAGGACTCGTTTTCTCAAGCATTCATTTTTTGTCTCCTTCATTGCAGGTGATGCAATTTTTCGGGCCGAGGTCGGCTAACCAACATTCCGTGTTTATTTGGAGGGTAGACTTGGCCAGATACATTTGGGCTGATTCTAAGTTTTGGATGTATCGGGATCAGTACTGGCGCCAGATACTTATCGAGTGTTGTTCAGTGGAGTGGGGCCCCCTCCTTTGTTGTGTAGATGTCAACTCCATTGGTCTCCTCGGTTTTCAGCTCTCGATCGGTAGACCACCCATGAACGGTGGAAATGCAGACCTCAGTTCGAATCCACATCCGTGTTCTTTTTTTTTTTTTTTTTGAAAAATAGACGTTGCGGGTGCTGATAAGAGAAGACTCTGTCTATTGGTGTGGGTAGTGTCCCCTGCTGGAAAGCGGGTCCGGCATCCCATATACAACGAATGCCTGAGTTTGTCTGAGATGTGTAGTTCTGCGACCTGTCCGCACTGATTGCCCTGGAGGCCCAGGGGATTGACTGAGCGAGAAGGCGTAATAGCGGGAGAGGAAGCAGCCTCTGAAGCCCTGTGCTTGGTGGCCTCACTACCCCTGACTACCCCTGATCAGTTACCCCTCCCTTACCCTAATTCTGCAGAAACCATCGGTACAGCTGAGCCTGGCAACGATGAGAGAAAATGCAAGTCGTGAAGCAAAAAGAACGCGCCCCCTCCCGTGCCCCCCCCCACCCCCAGGACCACTAAGGGGTCCCATTATGGCGATTCACCTGCCAAGCTCAGTTTGACCACCAAGGTGTTGTGGGGTGGGGGAAAGGGTCGGTGAAGTGATCAGGAGGGGGTAAAGAGACAGCGGCATCTATCTCTTTTTTTTGTCTTTTTTTTGTTTTTTTTTAAAGACTATACTCTTCTCTCAATTTTTCCTCACACTACCTACCTACTACCACTACTACTTATAGGCATACGGGGAAACCCGTAGCATACCACCCCTCGAGCCTGCAGTATACCGGCCAGGGGACGGCCGGTACCACCAGGGATAAAGCGAACCAATCCCCCGTGCCTCCCCTCAGGCCCCTCCCCTACGAACATAGCAGTCTCTGCTTGATGCCGATCGGGGGATCCAGTGGTCTATCTCTTGGGTAGAGGGTGCCAAGTAAGCCCAGGAAGGTCATGAGGCCAATGGAGATTGAACCCATGACCTCCTGAATGCCACTTGCGAGCCTTACCAACCGAGGTAGGCCGCTGGATTCATCCATCTCTTTGCATCTTTCCACGTATTTATTTGCTCCCATCCATTTCCTACTTAGATGCATCTATCTCTTTGCATCTAACTACGAAATGGATTGGAGCAAATAAATACGTGGAAATACCTGGAATCCCTTGGTCTGGGCAGTTCAATGGTGATATCAAAAGCTTGCTTCTCTTTTAAGGGAAAAGGAGCTGCGCTGCACTTCGCTGTGCAATTTGTGGAGATGGGTCGTCAGTGGGCCTCACTGCACTACACAGCACTCTACATGCATTTTGTCGATTTCTGGACCAGATGCATTGGGACGAGTCCAACATGTTGAATGTGCCGGTTTGAGAAAGCGTCTAAATGCATGTAGGGTGCCGTGTAGTGCAGCGAGGCCCAATGCGCGGCTGAAGTCGGGTCTGTATGTACCTGTTGGTTTGAGAAAGCGTCTAAGAAAGCGCATAAATGCATGTAGGGTGCCGTGTAGTGCAACGAGGCCCAATGCGCGCCTGAGCTAGGCCGGTTGGTTCCACACCCCCAATGGCACGGGGCCAATGATAACTTTTCTCTGTTTTTTTTTGAGTCTTGGGGCCGCGCCCCACCGCTCAGCTAGACCATGGAAAGATGCACTGCCATAATTTTTTGTCTACTGTGCTCTTCGTGAGTGGAGAAAGATCCACAACTCTTGATTCTCTTTCGAACGGTGAGTGCAGAAAGATCCGGAAAGGACAGAGGTAATCCTGTTAGAATGGACATGGTCGTGTTCAGACCTTTCAGGTCCATGATCTGCACCTGGATCAAGAGATGTTGCAGGTGCATTCTGACGGACCGGACCGGTCATTGCAAATATCAATCTGGTAAACGCTTACAATATTTAAATGCACCTGGGTGTGTTTTTGCGACCTTGAGGGCATACACGCGCTAGGACATTTTTACTTGTTTATGGACGTAATTGTGGTCAGATGCATCCAGGTTCGGTGATGAATGTCGTCAGATTGTGTATGAACGTTTCTACTTGTTTATGGACAGTTTAAGCGCTGAGTGCGCCTTGATTGTGTGCTCCCGCAGCCCTTATTGTGTGATCCCTCAGCCCTGATTGCGTGCTCCCTCTAACAAGTAAAGGGCTGAGTGCGCCCTTATTGTGTGCTCCCTCAGCCCTGTGGTCAGATGCATCCAGGCTTGGTGATAAATGTCCTCTCATCGCTTGTTATGTTACCAGACGTCGAAGAGCATGACGACTAACTGAGCGATTTTTCTACCGGTCGTGCGGTGGTTTCATTTTTCCGACCTACAGGTTTGTTCTCCTTTGCACTGGAGCTACTTGTCACGGCGGCTTTGGTGTGGACTGCGTACGCTTCATGAGCAGCGGCAAGGGCCAGATGCTTATTTTTCATTCTTTCGTCGGACTTCTCAATGAGCCCAGCTTGCAACTTTTGTTCTCTGAACTGGTCAACCTATTTCAATCCGCAATTTTTTCACTCTTCCTTCCATTCCTTGGCTTCGTTGGCCATACTGTCCCACTACATTACCTACCCTTCTCCCTCTCTTTCATGAAGTTCTCTCTCTCTCTCTCTCTCTCTCTCTCTCTCATAATTTAATGCAAGATACTTGTGTTCTATCTTTTCTGTGGCCATACTATGCCCCTACATCCCTTGTCCCTCTCTTGGTTGTTCTCGCTGTGCCACTTCTTCGTTTCTCTTCACCGGTTGACCTCTTTGCGGGTGGTAGGACTGGATCGGTATCGGTATGTCGACATTATGATAGGGTTTATCTCGATGGGCTGTCATACTATGGTACCGACCTCAGTTGCTCAGACCCTTCCTGATCAATTCTATATGGGAGGATGTGGGTTCTCCCTCGCTTCATAGCCAGCCCACAGGCATATGCAATGGTGTCATCTATTCCCTTGTCTCGTTAGATACACTTTCAACTCGTATGGCTTGCATGCACCAGATCGTGCCTTGCGAATGTATTCGTGTTCTCCCGATGCAGACTCGTCTTCGGACATCTAAGCCATTTTGGGATAGCCTCTGCTCCTTTTCCATTTCGTTTTGCGTAGCCCGCCAGAGATAGCAATTTGGGGGAGAGGGGAGATGTTATGTTATAGTTGCTTGCGGTGGCGAGAGCAGTATGATTAGGAATACTTGCCTGTATAAGATCGAAGCGGTCCCAAGAAGTTGGATTCGCTAGCAGCCGGTGATTTGGATTGATTTGGTCCCAAGAATCTGGAACTGCGAGCAGCCTGCGATTTGGACTGATGTGGGCTTACGAAAATGGGACTGTGTGCCCGTTGTGATTTGGATTGATTTGGTCCCAAGAAGTTCATGGTGTATCTCTGATTTGGCAGCGACGTGAATGCATTGTGAGTGTGTTGTGAGTGTGTTCGATTGGCTTGGTCGGGTTATGCAATCCGCTTGGCAGCTGCAGCTTGTGATTTGGATTGATGTGAGGATGGTTGATCAGTGTACCATTGTCCATCGCTCCAGTTTGGTGTATCTCATGGCAACAGATGAATGGGCTACAGATGCAAGAGAGAAGTGGTCCCAAGAAGTTGGATCTGCGAGCAGCTCGTGATTTGGATTGATTTGGTCCCAAGTTGGAACTGCGAGCAGCCTGCGATTTGGACTGATTTGGTCTCACGAAGTTGGGACCGTGTGCCCGTTGTGAGTTGGATTGATTTGGGCCCAAGAAGTTCATGTAGCAGCGATGTGAATGTGTTGTGAATGTGTTCGATTGGCTTGGTCGGGCTATGCAGTCCACTTGGCGGCTGCAGCTTGTGATTTCGATTGATATATGAGGACGGTTGATTGGTGTACCGTGCGTGTCGATCGCTGTAGTTTGGCGTATCTCGTAGCCACACAGCTGTATGGGCTACCCAATCCACTTTGCAGCTGCAGCTTGTGATTTGGATTGATGGATGAGGATATTTAATGGGTGTACCCTGTCCATCGCTCAAGTTTGGTGTATCTCATGGCTGCAGCTGCTGCTCGTGGCTTTGTAGATGTTTGCTTTGCAGCATATAGGGTGGGTACTGTACTAGTAGTAGTACACTGGCTTTGTGGCCACAGTGAACACCTACTTCCTTGATCCTCCATCCATTGCTTTCAGTGCAAACTGCACCCTCTTCTCTTTCATGCTGCAAGAGTAGTGCGCCCCTTCGTGCGCGCTTTGTTAAACGGCGAGAGACGTTGCTTCTTCCGGTGCGGCATCGCATCTAATTTTAGATCAGTTGTAGAAGAGCTGTAGACGCAGACGGTTGTTCGCCACTGCCTGGCAGATGGATCGAAATTACTTCCTCGTTCGCCACGAACGCTGGCTGTCCATTTTGTTTGTCGGTATACCTGTAACCACTTTGTGTGGAATATGATGCATATGCGAGCAGCTTGCTTGTGCGGACCCATGTCTTTCCCTCTCACCCTGTGTTGTTTGCCTCTCCCTCTTTTGGGCTGTTGCCTGTTTGCCCCTGGGAGGGAGTTTCTTTTCTACGGGGGACTGGTTTACTGTCTGTTGTTCTTCCTGCAGAATCAGCATGACAGGTTTTCCCAGCTCAGACCTCCTCCTTCCATTCGAAAGAAAGAGGTGCTGTTGATCTCTCTCTCTCTCTCTCTCTCTCTCTCTTGCTTCCAGCGTGAGTGTTGCGTGGTGGAGCGAGTCCCAATATGTGGCAACATCCGATGGATTGATGGGCACGTGGATGGATGGAGTCTGAAGCTGCATCCTTGGTCAAGCAAGCAGAGGGAGGTTGTTCGAAGACATCGTGCCAAGTTGGAAGATGGAGAGTTGGTCTGACCCCACGGATTAGTGGCTAGTTGGTCTTTTCAAAGGCATCACGATATAAATAGCGTTGATCTCTCTCCGGTGGTGGTGGTTCTGGAATCGCAGCTAGTTGGAAGAGGGAGGTAAGCATGTATTCTTTGTGAGTTGAAGTTGGTTCCGGAGTTGCAACCGGTTATAGAGGTAAGCATGTATTCTTTGTGAGTTGAAGTGTGTGCGTGCCTCCTTGTAGCGTGTTGGGAAAAAATTTTGTGCATTGATGATATAGGTTGGTGTCTTTTCTTCGTGTGTTGTGTTGTATTTATGAGTAGTATGATAGCCTTCGATGTACCTTTTTTTGACGTGATGGGAGGTCCCTTCTGCATCTTCTTCGATATGACTTGGGACCTTGGTGGACTGTTTGGGGACCTCGGTGAACTGTCGTGGAAAGGTGGAAGGTGAGACCTTTTTGAGAATAGTACCGGAGACGATTGCGGTTTATGAGCGGTTCGGGTATGGACTTGCTGAGTGGGTATGATTTTCCATCGGGACGCGTTGGCAGAACTCTTTAGGTGGAGGTGGATTCCTCGAGCGCAAAAAAAAATCGTTTTGTGAAGCAGGGGTGTATGAGGGAGAAAGTGGGCAGGGGCATAGCTTAAAGCTTGGGAGGGGTACAAGCGGCGGCGAAAGAGGAAGGTAGGAGTTCAGGGGAGAGGATGAGACAGGGGAGGTGGACGTTGGGATCTTGGTCGACTCTTGTGGACTACAACTACTGAGGAAAATGTGATGTCGAAGAGGAGAAGAGAGAACATGGGAGGAGTGGGGAAAGAAGAAGAAGAAGAAGAAGAAGAGGGGAAAGAAGGATTCGTTGCTGTGCTTGGGTGTTTGGGAGTTGCTTGGCAGCTCCTGCGGAGACTTGATAGCGGTTCACCCTCACCTATGGTATGAGAGAGGGAAGCAGTCGGTTTCGCCGGTTTGCTGCAGACTTGTTGAGGTGGAAGATTTGTTTTCACACACATCAGTCAGCTTATTGGTTTTGCAGCCTGGATTTTTATTTAATTTATCGACCTGTAAGCAGTCTCAGGGGACGACCAGTTGCGTTCTGGGGCAGTAGTCGATGTTGAATCCTTGGCCGATGTTTCCGATGATGGGTGATGCACTGGTGTGTCTTGGATCCATGGTAGAGGCACATGGTGTGTAGGATGGAGGGAAAGAATTTTTTGGGAGGAAGCTTTGTATGTAGGTTAGTCAGTGTGTGATGACTCTGATGAGGGGCAGCAGTGTGCCCGCTTGTGATAGTGTAAAAATGACTAAAAGTTAAAACTGAAAAGCTGATTTTGTATTTGACACTGTGCAAATTGCGTATGATGGTTACATCAGTTGAGCCCTGCTTTGCGGGGCTTAACGCTGCTATATAAATTCCCTTCGCTGCCTCTCCCCTTTCTCCGAGAATGTGTATGGGTACTTGCACACGCGGTGTTGAAACGACTCCTGCCGGGATTTTGAACGAGTCTTGCAGGCAGTAGGAGTAGCAGCTAGCGCACCTCTCATGCTGCTGACCGGGTGGGACTTCCAACGAGACTGGCAGTAATAAATTAATAAAATAAAACAAGAGACTCGAGTTCTGGTGTGAGTGTGCCTTGATGATATGTAGAGGCAGTCGGCGAATCTCTCAAGCTTCTGATTCTCGTATGGAAGTTACTGTTCTGCGATGCAATGAGCTTTTTTTATTTGCGAAGTTTAGATACTTTTGCTTTGGTTTCCGCTCCTCTCTTTTGCTACGTGGAGATGTAATGAAAGGTCCGCTGCAGCGATCTTCATCATATCTTTCCCTGCCATGACGGAATCGGGGGTTCTGTTTCTGTAGCCCTGCCTGCGGCACGTATGACTCCGTTATAACATTAACAAGAAAAATAAAATAAAAGGGATGGTTGCCTTGCCTTCCTGCGGTAAGTATGCCCTTGTCGACAGTGACAAAATGTTAATTGATTAAACAATGTGGGAGGAAAGAAATAAAAGGATGGTTGTTCGGGGTCATCGTAAACGGATGGGTGTCCTGTGCGCTGTGTTTTCGGGATGATTGAATCTTTGTGCGACGTGGAAGACACAGGGAGTGTATGCTTCTTCTGCAGCATATACTCGCAGGGGGGGATAGGGCGGGTTCTGTGTTGTTGTGCGATCCGAGGACACAAGTAGTCAATCGAACTGTTCCCAGTTTTGTCATCGTTTGCACACACACACAGATAACACGAAAAGAGACTGGCTGGATACATTTTGTGAATGCTGTTCAATCTACGCACACAGGGTTGGATACGTTTTGTGAATGCTGTTCAGTTTACTCACACAGGGGGATAAGCGGACAGTTCATTTTGTCAATGCTGTTCAGTCTACTCACACAGGGGGATAAGCGGACAGTTCCGCGCCGAGCAAGATTCAAGCCAGAGCCAGAGATTGAATTTCAAGTAGTAATGGGATCGAGTGGCATGAAAACATTCTGAAGCGTAAAAGACTGGATGCTGGAGGCTCTGTAGTGTTGTATATAACTCTTAACGTCGGCATGGAAACATCCAGCCAGATCTGTGTGTCTGTGCTTTTAACTAGCCATGGTTCCGTCGATCTGTTGTGTTTTGCTCCCATGCGGTGCTCTCGTTCGAGGAGACTTAATGTGTGTGTGTGTGTGTGTGTGTGTGTGTGTGTGTGTGTGTGTGTGAAGTGCCATCAGTAGGCCTTGGCCTCAACGTCGAGGTCTGGTTGACGGAAAGGGGCTTTAGGGGGCTTCCTTGAAGGTAATGAAACTGTTTCGTTAGAATGTTTAACCAGTAGTACTTGGCCCAGCTATCGATGCTGAGCCTGAATATGCCCTGCGCGGCCTTTCGCGCCTACTCGTCAGCGAAAAAATAAAATAAAATTGTTTTGGCTGGCGGTGTCAGCCTTTCAGGTCCGGTACTCCGAGCCTCCGAAAATTGCGGGGTGCTAAGTAGAATGCCCCGCGGGCGACATGTCAAGTACTGGGTGGTTCAAGGAAGTTGTTCCCCTTGTTCTTTGCATCCGGGAACCGCCACTGAATTGGAGGACCACCTTTTTCCAAAGAGCAGCGAGTACAGGAGGCCTGCATTTTTGCAGTCCAATCTCCAGTAATGAAAACATAAACAGGTACGGTACTGACCCCGGCAGGAGCTTTATAGGCCCGACAGGACAGGGGAGGACAGGTCAGGTCAGGTCAGGTCAGGAGAGGTCAGGTCAGGTCAGGTCAGTAGTTGTCAGGTCAGGTCAGTCGGAAGTGAAGACAGTAGGGTTGGTCTGTTGCTGGCCAAAGAAGAGAAAAATCGACGGCTATGTTCTTCTGCCAGAACCGATCTGATGGCCAAGGGCGTTCAGATTGGATGGCAGCAGCAACCTGTCCGTCCTGGGAACGAAGACCCACGCGGAACCCTTTCGGAGGTCGCCCTCCACTGATTCATTTTATGTACGGTGCGCAATCTCTTAAACCACCAGGTACTTGGCCCAGCTATTGATGCCGAGCCGGGATACCCCCTGCGCGCCAAGTTTTGCCGAGGCGCCGGGACACCGTTTCGTTTTCATTTTGGCTGGCGCTTCCATCCATTGCGGTTTTGTGCCCCGTAGTGCGCAACTACTAGCGCATTAATGGGAATCGCCTGCGGCCGATAACTGGGCCAAGTACTGGACGAGGTTAGGCTCAAAACACGTTCTCCTGTAGCCTGGGGCCATGTACCATGTACTGGTGGTTTTAAACCTTCAGTACAAGGGCCCAGAGCCTTGCAGATCAAGCAACAACTGGTGGCCGCTGTGCCGTCGCAATGGCTGGTAGTGCCATTAAAAAGAGAAAATTAACCCAACGAAATTTCTGAATTAATTGGAGGATGGTCTACTGGTCGACACTGGCTGGTAGTGCGAGTCAAAAGAGAAAAAAAATTGTTCTGCTGGCGGTTTGGAAAATCCGCTTGCGACCACAGTACGGCACCTCCAGGCCGAAAGAGAAAAAAATTGTACTCGTGGYTTAAACCAACCACCGGTACTCGGTGCTTTCATCGTTGCGGGGTCCCTCGTCACTGTGGGACTCTCAAAAGAGAAAAAAAATTGTTCTGCTGGCGGTTTGGAAAATCCGCTTGCGACCACAGTACGGCACCTCCAGGCCGAAAGAGAAAAAAATTGTACTCGTGGYTTAAACCAACCACCGGTACTCGGTGCTTTCATCGTTGCGGGGTCCCTCGTCACTGTGGGACTCTCAAAAGAGAAAAAAAATTGTTCTGCTGGCGGTTTGGAAAATCCGCTTGCGACCACAGTACGGCACCTCCAGGCCGAAAGAGAAAAAAATTGTACTCGTGGTTTAAACCAACCACCGGTACTCGGTGCTTTCATCGTTGCGGGGTCCCTCGTCACTGTGGGACTCTCAAAAGCTGTTTAAAACGATTATCCACCACTAGTGCGTAATGTGGCATGGTTGCATTGGTTGGGATTACCGAGTGTCTTGATGACAATTCTATTGCTGATCGATAACCCTTTAACCACTGCTAATCTGTTTTATAATAATCTAATCATAGATAATTTGACCTAATTTTGTAAAATCTTTCTGTTGTTTAGTTGAAATTTATCAATGGCCTAGCAGGGCCAGAAATTGTGGTGCATATGAGTATACGACTGTTGTAGGTCCCACGGCCAATAGGACTACCGTCTTTGCCGGAATAGAACGCCTGGTCATTATCACTGTATCTAGAGTGAAAGTTGCACCAAATACAGGTATGACGTTCTCTTCGGGTGAAGAGGGTAGTGCCCACGGCCAATGAATGAGCCAAGTACTGTTGGTTCTTAGCAAATTATCGTCCCGAAGTGTTGAGAATCTTGAACTCCTCGGAATGCACCTGGTCCACAATGCGTCCAAATGTGTGCTTAGATGTTGAGTGGGGGAGAGAGGCCTTTGGATTATCGCATGTGATGTCGATCGCTCTATGCGGTGAGGAATTTTTAAAGAAGGTAGATGCAGCTTTGAAGAATGACAGAACTGAACCGATGCGCTATGGGGCCCGAATTGTTGAACCTCTGGTTCTTCAAGGCTGTAATCTGGCGGTAGGATGGACATGCACATTTTTCTCATGTCCAGCTGTAGGTATGTTACTTGCTGAACATCTGGGTTGCATACGAGCTCTGTGAAAAGCAACTGGACGTGATTCAGCGTCAGATGCATCCAGCTGTAGATATGTTATTAGCTGAACATCTGGCCTGCATAAGAGTTCCGTCGAGCAACTGGACGTGATTGCAGTGTGAGATGCATCCAGTCGCAAAGTCTAATCCGCTCTCAAGGCCTACTGGCACGATGGCTTTTTTGACCCGGCTCTGGACGTGATTGCAGTCAGATGCGTCGAGTTCCGTTGGTAATTGCACGCAGATACCCTTAGACAAGTGCGAATGTGAGTTTGCTGTCAGAGTTTCTGCAGATATGCCGATCTGTCAATTCTGAGTAAAGTCAAAGAAAACAACTTTTTGACTCAGCTCTGGACGTGATTGCAGTCAGATGCGTCGAGGTCTGGCCGTAGTCTGATCTGTCAATTCTGAGTAAATTTTGCCCTGGTAGCAGGTGGTTTTGCAATGGGGCTCGTAGCTGGGTGTCGAAGATCCCAGTCATGCTTAAAAAAAAAAATAAAAAAAAAATCTCAGTCATGCGCTCACCTAACTTGATGTGGCAGATCCCATCTCAGGGCTCGTCGAAACATGATGTGGAGGATCTCTCTGCGTCGAATCATGATGTCGAGGTTTTATCTAACTGGAAATACCCTGGATATGGAAGATCCCTGGTCAGCGCACGGCCAAGTGGATGTGGAAGTTAACTGAGCTCAGGGCTCGTCGAGACATGAAAAGAAAGAAAATAACGTTTTGCAGGGTTGGTCGTGTAGGTAGGTGGATTCAAAACTATGAAGCACGTGTATATGGATCCTCCGAATGTCATTATCGCTGCATCTGATCGGAAAGTTGCTCAAGTACAGCTGCAAGGACTGCGCTTTCTTATTCCGGCAAGGACGATAGTTGAGGATATCTGTTCTTTGCGAAGTTGACAAATTCGTCTCTTCGACCCTCGACAGCGAAGAACAGATATCTTCAACTATCGTCCTCGCCGGAATAGAAAGGGATTACCCTTCTAACGACACTCAACAGCCAGAAGAAACAAAAGGCCTCCCTCTATCTGTTGAGCGCCAAATTCGATACGGAAATTCCCCGTTGAAAAGACTCAGCCGCGCGGCTAGCGGTCATTAGAAGGGAAATCCGTTTGAAAGTGCCCTTTTTCACCCCCGAGTACAACGTGCGGTCATTATTTGTTTCTATAATGATTGTGTGTTGCATTTGGTGAAGAAGGTTGGCCAAAAGCAGTGGAAATTTTTGACAGCACAAACTTTCTAGAACGGTGGAAAAAGACGAAGAAATAAGCACAGAAGCCAGTTGTGATAGTCTTCTCGGATAAAAAAAAAAAAAAAAAAAAGCACAGAAGGCAATGTGAGTGATAGCGTGAGAGGGAGGATGGAAAGGAGACACCGCTGCTGCTCGATGGACTGTGTGCACAAGGTTGTGTGTGGTGTGTGGGATGAAGAGTGTTTGCTGAAGACACC